TTCCCGTGAAAATTAAATCGGCGCTTTTTTGTGCTTTAAAAGTCATTTTCCAGGTATATGCCCATAAGGCAAGATTATCTAAGTCATTTTGAATGGGTTGGTGTACATGGATATTAATAAAATTCTCACTTTTCTCATAGGAGTTATAGACTGAAGTGTCATCTGCAAAAATAAAGGTTTTTGAATGCAAATTATCAGGAAGATCATTCACATATGATAGAAAAAGCAGGGGTCCTAATACCGATCCTTGGGGAACTCCGGCATTTTTGACTAAATTGTTATGCAAATTATTTGGGTTGTTTGTATTGTCATTAGCATTTTCATTGGACCAATTCGAATAGCTATTATTCACTTTAATTTTTACTCTTCTGTTGGATAAATATGAAGTCATCAGTTTAATAAAGTTTTCCTGACAACCGTAACCTTTAAGTTTAAGGATGCAGTACCGGGTCGGTTTTCACGTCTGTTTGCGCAGGTTTGACTTCCGGTTTGAGAAGGCTAGCTCCCAAGAACGTCATTTTCGCATTTAGTCTTATTCAAAAATTATAGTTTATTTCGATAATGGTGTTTCCAGAAAAGAATTAAATTGCAAACATTTTATCAATCATATTTTATCCCTTTCACTTTTATGGGAAAACTTGTTCTTAAGGTCGCAATTAGTGGATACGAAAACCAGGGTTCGAAAGGTGCCAGCTCTATTGAAAACTCAAAAAAGTAAAAAGATTCATTTTGGGTGGGTAAAATAATTTTTTTATTTTGTAATTACCAGACGGTCAATCCTCTTCATATTGCACTTGGATGATGATAACATCATAATGATACATTGTAAAAAATATGAGCAAAATCTAATGTCTCGAACTTTTTCTACGCTGACCTGGTACTGCATCCTTAAGTAGCAAAAGTTTGTGTGGAACTAGGTCAAAAGCTGACGTCAGGTCAAGGAAAACAGAGCGAAGCGAGTTTTGGCTATTGTCAATTTGAGCATGGATATCATGAACAATATTGATTAATTGGTTAACTGTACTGTGTTTCGGTAAAAAGCCACTCTGAAGTTTATAAATCAAGTTATTTTCTAAAAGAAATGATAAAAAGTTTTTATGTATAATTGTTTCAATTGCTTTTGAAAGGCTGCTTAAGAGGGTTACAGGTCTATAGTTAGTAATCAAGCCTTTGTCACCCTTTTTGTAAAGGGGGGTTATAAATCCTTCTTTCCATACATCAGGAAAAATATTTTCTTTAAAAAATTTATTAAAAAGCTCAGCAGTTGGTATTGCTAGAGATCTAGCACAGACTTTTAACATTTTGTTAGATATATTGTCAGGCCCATGTGCTTTAGAAGTGTCAAGATCTTTTAAAATTTTAAATACTTCATTAGGAGTAGTTAAGATTTCCTGAAAAATATGATGAGTTCTGGGTCTAAATATTTGAGAGAGTAATTCTCTGGAATAGTAACAATGTTCTTGCTAACAAAGTATTTCATAAAACATTTGCTTTATCAGAGCTCGTGGCTGCTGATAAGTTGGAATTAGGGTCAAATAAAACCGGAATTGATGTAACTTGATTTTTTCAAGTACGTCGCGAATCAAATACCAGTAGTCAACCGAATTTTTGGAAGTGTTCTCAATTGTTTCCCGAATTTTTAATTCATGTTCAGATTTTGCTTCCGAAATCAATATGTTCACTTTCTTACTTTGAATTTTAAATTGCGTTTGATAGGTCAAAATGTTAGTGGATTTATATTTATGGTGAAGTTTGTTTCTTTTGTAAATCTCCTTTTTGATGTTATCGGAAAACTAAGGTTGATCATCATACCTGGTTGAAATAGTCTTATGAGATACATTTGTTTTAATTATGTCTAGGAAAGTTTTAACAAAGAGCTCTGTGGCATCATTGACATTGTTGGTCAAAATAAAATCCTAATTAGTTTCTGAAATTTTTTGATTCAGTAAATCAGAGTCTTCAGTTTTGAAATGCCATAAGGTTTCCTTAATTGAGGGTTCTCTTGAAATTAATCTATATTTGACCTATATTCAGCACGGTATTGATGTATAGGCCAGTTATTAGGGTCATAATTCAATCATGAAGTGTAGAGGCATAGATTCCAAACCAGGAAGTACTTTTGTGTCTGTCAAAATCCATTTACATCCTACGCATCCCTGCATCTTATCCAAATATGTTACTACATAATGAAATATAATAGTATAATCGTTGGTTTTACAAACTTGTATGATATTTGATAAGTGTAAAAGTTGTTTTTGGAGCATTTTTCTATAGCCATTTTGTAGGGAAAAAGATGATGAAAAAATGTACAATATTTTAATTTTAAGTATGACCTGAATCGATTGCAAACTTCAGATTTGCACATTTGATGAGATAAACCATTTGTGTCGTATTGTGAAATTATTAAGTTTGCAATCGATTCAGGTCAAAGTGTATTTTTGGTATTTCTGTGATAATCAATGGAAACCAATGGCCTCTTTTGGAATCTGCTGATATCCTCATGTTAAGTCAATGCCTTGGTGCACAGCCCCATGTAAGTCAATACAACCTTACTGAACGAAATGATCCCTATCTCAGCTGATGTGTGTCCGAGCACTTTAATATTTTCCAAAGTATTATATGACACTTTATTCTTCATGTTACACCTACGAATGATTCATTTTGACCATAGGGATATTTGCCAATAATTTCACCTTGTCCTTTCGAGTCTGTCAGCTTGGCAAGTTAGGCAACCCTTACTCCCCCATTGGATTTCGTGTTAAAGTCTCTATATGTTTGAATTCTTATTTGCATATTCTCATAGTTGGCTAGTTTTTGCTATACAGATTCTGTATGTAGCAAAAACTAGCCAACTATGACTAGTATTTTGGGGCTGGAAATATAAATTGGCATCATTTCCAATACCTCTTTTTTCTCACAAAATACTAATAGAGTAGACAATCGGGTTTGAATTTTGAATTAAATAGTTTCATATATGCCAATACTTTCTCAAATCCATCGAAGCAAGATTCTGTTCTCTAGTAGCATTGAGTAAGCTTTGAATTACGATTTATTAATCTATTTCTAAAAATTAGCATATTTTTTATCAACATGAAACAATAAACATCAGTTTTCTCGAGTAACAATTTTGTATAAAGACTCCAATTAACATATTAAATGTAAGGGTAATTAAGCCGAGTGACATTACAACACAGCTGGTTCATTGGATAGTGTCTTTAAGGAACTTTATATCGTGTAAAGTTGCAAAGATTTCACCGTTTATTTGATTGAAATGGAATACAATAATGGGTAAAATAACATACAAACACCTACTACGTGACAGGATGTGAACGAAAATATTTAAGCGATCAGGTGTGACCAGAGCAAATTGTTCGTAAAAACTCATGGATTACATGTATTGCCAAAGTAGGGCTTGTATCGAGGGACGGATATTACACGTGATTTAGATTCGTGCCAATGGCTAGCTCCAAACTCGATCTTTATGTCGCCAAATGTCACAAGGTGTCCATTGAAGTGATCATTTGCCTCTGTTCTTTATCACACTATTGATTTTGTCATCAGGTTGTTGCAATATGTTTGAGGGATTTTCAATATCTTGTATAATGTATTTATATTCTTTAAGAGTATAAAGTATATACAAGGTGGGCCAAAAAACGCCACTTTTTTAAGACACTACAACTTTTTTATTTTCCAACCTACATACCCCAAATTTTAATAATATAATGTAACATGTCCTTCAACTTGGATTATATTTGATCTAAAAGGGGAGTTCAATTGGTCCGCCACCCTAATTGATGATATATTTTAGTTTTAGTCGCCTTGCTGATATTGCATTATCAATGAAATGTTAGCTAAGTTTTTTTTCAACCTGTCTTAATTGCCAGCTTTAGTTGAGCAATTTTCTAGATTGGGTGCCTTCATACAATCTCCTGGAGACCTTCCCATACCCTATACTCACTGAGGTTTGCATCGGGGCTATTAGCTTGGTGATCATCAGGCCGTATCAGTTCAGGAACATTTTGCAAATTATGCTTATTTCTCAAGGCACACCACATGTTTAAGTGAGACGCTGGTGACATATTCTATTCAAGTAAAAGTGTATAATTCATAATCCATGGCTAGATAAAAACCTCCAGTTTCATTTGGTATGCAAATTATTATTTATATAAGAAATTAAAAAAGTTATAGCATTTTGAAAAAAGTGGCGTTTTTTTGGCCCACCCTGTATTATAAGTTATTGAATGATTTGAAGTGCAATACAGGATATATTCTGTTCGAGAAATTCCGTATTGGAACGAGACGAAGTCGAGTGCCAATACAGAATATCGAGACAGAATATATCCTGTATTGCACTTCAAATCATTCAATAACGTTTTTATCGTATGATCCTCTGTATTGCTACTGATTTTGTTCCCTCCGTACCAATATTTTCTGTATTGCGACGGAGATTATCAATGGGGACAATCTCAGTACCAATACAGATTGGTACAGCACAAGAACTGACCAATAAAAAGGCTTCATTTTACAGATCATACGATAAATATACTTATTGGCTCCTTTTCCATTATTCATTCGTTTCGGATCACTGTCGTCATGTTACCAGAAAAGACCGTCTCTGTGGAAAGGCATTTTTTAAATCAATGTTGCTTTTAACCAATGTTATAATACTAGGACATACCAGGCACACCATGGTACAACATATGCTACATTAACTTTTAAATGTTATATATCTCTGGCTACACATTGACATTATTGTTGTATGTGCCAAATATTTCATATCGTAAATGGCTTGCTGTTTCATCTCGCTGTAATTATGGTGTCATTACCTTAAATAACATTTAAACCAGCCATTTCAAATTTTAATGTCATTCATAGGTGATCGTGTTGTGCCAATGTATAAAAATCTCTGTCATGCATCCATGTGCAGTGATTATTAATTTAAACAGTACTCTATAATTAGAATGAATTAATGATAATTAGACAAATATAATTTGTTTCAGGTAGAGATGAAAAATCTGGCAGAGGGGATCCATTGTGTGTACAAACAACTGATATGAAACGCCATTTGTGGGGAGCATTACACCATAACGCAGATGACAATAAAGATAAGGCGGTATGTAAATATTCAAGCTAAGATGATTAATGAAATGTTAAGTGTTCACTGGCTTTCTATCAAAATTACTCTTCCGTAAAATATGGCATCGTCGGTTCCCACGCTCAATCACTACGTTCTATAGGTCCGAAGCTGATGAAGCAAGATGAAAATTTGGTAGGTTTGGGTTTTTGGAATCTATTTTCTCACCTTACATATAATACACTTGTAAATAATTCATTCTATCTTCGTAAAAGAACCAGGCAGGGAATTTACTAATTAATGGTAGACGATCACTGAGAATAACCCTTTCTACAAATATCAAAGACTTTTCATATAATATCAATTTGGATGAAAATCATTCATTCTATCTTCGTCAAAGAACCAGGCAGGGAATTTACTAATTAATGGTAGACAAACATTGCGAAATACCCTTTCTACAAATATCAAACACTTTTCATATAATATAATTTTGGATGAAAATCGTTCATTCTATCTTCGTCAAAGAACTGGGGATGACATTTACGAATTAATGCCTAGGTCACATCTGTTCCGAATTATCGAGCAGCGCCCGGCCGATTGCAGTATTTTGTTCAAAACTGATTTAACCTTGCTTCAAATTTACCAAACCTTTTTAAAATCATGTACAAGTTCTCAGGAGTCACATCTGACCTCAAATTTAACATTTAACCTTCAATTTTGAACAAAATACTCAATCGGTCGGGCGCAGCCGATGAATCGGACTAAATGTGACCTAGGCATACTGATAGACGGTTATTAAGAAATACGCTGATATCAAATATTTTTTACACAGCCTTATATTTATAGTTGCTCCATGCAAAAGTGCCATGTCTATATGAATATCTTTTGGAAGAGCTTTCGGAAAGTATGGCGTGTTTGTAAGTAGAATTATTCCATTGCTTTGTGTTGAAAAATTAATTACTTTGTGTTCTCGTATTTTTAGTTAAGTCTGAGTGAATGGTGCAGTTTCTGGGATGATTTTGCCGTCCAATACAACAAGCGAAACTATATACCCTATTGGTTCAAAGAATTCATGGCGGTGACCTTTTACATAATGGACAAGGATGGTGCGACTTTTCATTTGCCTTTACTATCTAAAATGCAAAGAGCTGTACTTCTTATTAACAAAAGCCTTAAAATAGATATATTATGCACGTACGTCTCCTTTTGACACTTAAATGTATTTAAAGTCTCTTTTGATGCTTAAATGTATTTAAAGTCTAAAATGAAACTCAAAGGAATGGTATCGATATGGTGAACTTTTTGAAGACGCGTTTTTCTTAAACCAGTCATCAAAACATTCTGAATAGTTTATACATTGTCAATTTAATGGTCATATTTTAGATGGAAACATTATCATTTAAAATATTTATATATACTTTTCTCTATATTGTTTTAGAAAACACATCAGACACTTCTTTTGTGCTCAGTATCATGTTCGGAATGAAATGAAACATCTATCCGAACCTCATTGGAACAAAACGACATTAACAAAACGTGTTTAGGTCTCTCAATATTGTAATTGTACAAAGGAAAGTTTGGTTGATTTCAAAAAATTATCTTGTTAATGAAATACAGGTTTATCTTAATTTTTAAATATTTGGGGGAGGGGGGTTTGTTTTAAGTTTTTGCACAATTTTTGTTAAATCAACCAAAATTTCCTTTGTACTCGTATAACTATAATATTGAGAGGTCTAAGAAAATGTTGTTGTATATGCTATTTTGTTCCAACAAGGACATTTTATTTCATTCTCAAGAATTGGTAGAAAGGAACAAAAAACAACTGCACTAAGAAATAAGAAATGTTAACAAAAACAGTTATATTAAATATATAAATAATTCAATAATTTTTGCATTAAATTGTTGCCAATCAGTCAACATTACATAAAGGACCGTGTTTTTTACAGAATGTTTCAATCATTGGTTTAAGAGAAAAACATTGTTGAATTCAGTTCACCATACCGATACATATCCTTTGTTAAAAGTCTCTAATTTGACATTCAAATGTACTAAAAGTCTCTCATATGACACTTAAATGTCTTTGAAGTCTCATTTGACATTTAACCATATTCAAAGTCTCATTTGACACTTAAATGTATTAAAAGTCTCATTTGACATTTACATGTATTTAAATACTTTTACATTTATTAAAAGTCTCATCTATTTAAAGTCTCATTTAACACTTAAATGTATCCAAAGATTCATTTGACACTTAAATGTGTTAAAAGTCTCATTTGACGCTTAAATGTAGTCAATGTCCCATTTGAAACTTAAATGTATTTAATGTCCCATTTGACACTTAATGTATTAAAAGTCTCACTTGACACTTAAATGAATTAAAAGTTATATTTGCCACTTAAATGTACTAAGTATTTAAAGTTTCCCTTGATATATTAAATTCTCCTTTGACTCTTAAATGTATTTAAAGTTTCCATTAAATATTTCCTTTGATACTTACATGTGTTAAAAGTATCATTTGACACAAAAATCCCAAACCCAATGCATTATGACCTTAATAGTATTTAACAACCGTAGTACCCAAAGGCATGCAATACCAACCATAATTGCAAGTAGACGGTACTGCAATTTTTATAGTATATAACTATGTCACACCATGATTGCTATTATACAGGTGATGAACTTATAGATGCCAGCGATTTTGCCTCATATTACAATGAAACACACAAACTTCCCTTGGACATAGTAGAGGCCGCATTCAAGAAGATTTCGGCCGCATTCAAGAAGACTTCGGTAAGTATTCTTCCTCAGTCAAACGCACAACACCTACATGGGATCGTCCATAAAAATGAACGAATCATTAATTAATTTGATAAGATTATCGGGACTGTTTATTACAGTTTCTTCGAATTTGATATTTCAATAAAAAATTGTATAATTCACATATAAAGGAACTAAAGGATGTCCCTGGATGAAGCTTTGCATGCGAGACGTTTTAAAGAACAATCATTCTTTTTATTTCTCTCTGCATTTCTAAACGAGTATTTAAGATTTCAAAAAAGTTAACGGAGCCATTGGAGGCATTCGAAAATCTAACAAAACGCCAAATCCGTTTGGTACGGGATTTCTAAATAAATAAGACCATTATTTGGCTCGCAACGATAGCTTTCCGATAGTACCGCTCTCGTAGTGAACAGATTGTGAGAAAATGTGTGAAATTAAGGGTAAAGACGATTTTTGCGGCTTTCTTGCAGTCCCAATCCACTTTTTGGCCTCCAAACTCGATGTTTTAGAAACTGCACTCATCTGTCTTTTTCTCCGTCGTTTGCAGGTCGATTTCAAAATTAATAGTGCCATCGTAAAGCTGACAATAACAGCTTCCCACTAGTATCCTTCTTAAAGCGATCTGTTTGTGATTTGTAAATTCGAGACTAAAGGCCTTTTTGAGAATTTTAAGATTCAGTTAAGAAAATATTGAGAAATCGGGCATTCTGATTGGTCGGTTTTCTTTTTTCTTAAAGGAATCCAACACCTTGCAAAACTTCTTAACGGAGAGGAATAAGGGAAAATGCTTGCCGGATTCTGAATCTGTGTATTTTTTAATGATTTTTCACCGTCTTAGAATTTCAATTTTTTTGAGATTTGCATTGTTTTCCAATTAGACAAATGAGTAAACATGAATAGCCCGAAATCTAACGGTGAGATTTTGTTTTAAAAAATCATGGATATCAAGGCTAAATATAGCTATACAATAAACATAAAAAAGCAATGCTTGGACTCTTCATATTCACACAAAAAATTAATTAGTAAATGAGGTTTGATATTTGTGAGAATAAGTTGTACGAGTCGCAATGCTCTACAAACACCAGACTACAGGGTGGATTAGGATCAATGACACACATAAAAATTGATTTAAAAACATTTCATGATAATTATCTCAAACAAAAGCAGTTAGCGAAGGATACATTTCATTACACTCAATAAATAGTTATCACTTTTGACTATATATACATATCTCATGGGAATGTATTTCCATCTGCTCAAGATATCATATTTTAGCTTCGAAAATCACAATCGTTGGATAATACATTTGTCTCAGAATGATAGGCCACCCTGTAGCAATGTAGCTTTCACTTGAAGTGTACCCTTGAGAATAATGAACTTACTTTCAAATTGGTCTTGCTTTTGTGGTGTATGTGGCATTTTAGCAAATCTGCCACGCTCATTTCTTTCCAGAACCATCTTGTTCACATGTAACACTAGGCTATACGCGCATGTATAGACAGATGACATAGATATACATATAAATTATATATTGCACCTGTATTTACTTACATGGGAATATTCCCTTTGGAAAAATGCAAATGCATGAACATATATTTTCATCTTATATATGACTTCAAGCTAACATATTATTTCATATTTATATTTTCATAGTTAGTCTAACATAAATAATAGATCCATGAGAACAATATTCTTTGTTTTCTTAAAAATTGATGGGTTTACTGTGAATTCAATAAATTACAATTTGCAAGGGGTAAGTATACTGTATGACCTTAGTTGCAAAGTACTGTTTATATATGCAGCTCAATAGCATAAAATATGTTGAATGAAGCATATGGTGGGGATTAGTCGTGTGACACACAAACTGACCAATACATGAGGGTATTAGCTACTTTTCACAGAAACCAAAGGAGGACAGTGATTTTATTTCAACTGGGAGCCTACCTCCACACGACTGATCATGTGACCATGGTGTTGGGTCCCTTTAAAAGAGTCTTGAAAATACAAACATGAATCATTAAATTATATATTTTTAAATAATATCATATAATATTTATATTTCATCTCCTTCTATAGACAATGGATTTATCATCATTTTAATTTTTAGGAAACGGCAGAATTCCTTAGAGCTGCAACCGAGAGAAAATCCAAGGGACCCAGAAAGCCGGCCAGACCTAGTGCAAGGAAGACTACTCCCAAACTATTTAGGCCTACACTTGTATGTGCACTTTTGTGTTTTTAATTGATACATAAATTACTTATGGTCCAAGATATTAATAGAATGTAAATTGCTTTAATCTGACGGCCGTTTTTAATTTGAATGCTATCAAACTATTATACTATTTACGAAGATGTACGGAATCCCCGCTGGTTTAAACAAAACAATCTGAAACGAGGAGATAGTACTTGCCCAAAAAATCAAAAAGTCCTTAGTTAAGCCTTAATGTCCTGTTTAAGAACCCATATTCTTACTATTGAAATTATGGATTCAAGCAATACTATCTAACATGAATCTACTTGTTGAGATTTGATCAACACGCATGAATTCTTCTGAGAAAATTAGGCTTTCAGAAAGGGGTCAAAGGTATGTATGTCCCTTGCTGAAATTCTCAATTTCTCAGAAGAACTGAAGTTGATCGAGTCCCAACAAATAGACTGATATTGCAGGGGCGTAGCCAGCTTTCAGTCAAGGAGGGAGGGATCGCCAATTTTTCGGTTTTCAGTCGGGGGGAGGGTTCGAACGTGGTACAAGCAACCCAAAACGTTTTTTGAATAAAACAAAAACTAATGCTATTTCCATTCAAAATTGAGTTAGAAGCCTCAAATATAAACATTTTGAAGCTGTTTTCTTCCATTATCTAATGGTTATATTTTAATTGGTTATGGGGGTGAGTGCAACCCCCTGGCTACGCCTATGTATTGGATAGTATTTCTAGAATCCATTTTTAATAATAAGAATAGGGTTTTTAAACATCACATTGGGCTTGCTTTTAAGAACTTTGGGTTGGAAGTAAGAAATAAAATTGCGTCGCATATTAGTGGTTAGCTTTGATGTAATAGACGCGATTGATGGTCAACCCCAAAATAAACGGCAGTAAAAATTGCCCAATCCGCTAAATTAAATAACCCCAAATTAAAGCAATTTACAGTAATATTGTCGTCATAACGATCATTTACGATCATGTCTCCAAAATCGGTATCTTGTCATAAACTCAAATGCTTTCCAGCCAATAATTCCTACACATTGATATTACGCTGAAAACAAATAATTTCAATATCATTACAATTACAAATGTCACAAATGGTGTCATTTCAATGCCTTCAGATATTAAAACATATATCCTTCACGATCCGTCTTGTGATTTGTATCTATTATCAATTCATATAATTTCTCAAAATGCGTGTACAAGTAACTAAAAATAAAAATGGGACCCACATCTTTCGGCAAAAAGTGACCAACTTCAGCGGCAGTGCCCCCCCCCCGGAGTATATCTAGTATAATCGTGACACGCGCGTGAAAATAAAAATCTAACCATCACAGTTCCACGTTTAAATCTGTTAGATCAAGTTCCCGCTTCAATTCGATTTTAGTTTTATTTTCTTTAAATCTGCACCTATTCGTCTAAGAGTAGAAGATCGACTGGCCGATTGTCAGTCTTTTTAGTAGACGCATTTGGAACTACAAATTGGAAATCTACCATTAGTTTAGAAAGCAGTTTAAAAACAGGCCGTGCAGGAATTAAATTCGTTCTTAAAAAATTTATTGAAACAACCTTTCCAAATATATATGACATCGACATGAAAATGCGGCAACAATATTAAGCGGACATAGTTATAAAATATCAGTAAACTGTGCTCTATTTCTGTGATTTGAGTATGACGTGATATCAAGCGACACTTCAGGCATCTATTTTAAGGCATCAATGACGTCATTGATACATAACAATGGCGGCATCCGCTGCGGTCCAGATATGGGTATTTTGAACTTGAATTATAGTATAATAATATTGTATAATACGTTAGTTCAAACACGATATGTCCCATGGGTGAGCTGAAGTGATAGATGATGGTTATAAGTAGTCAGCGTGTAAATTAGAGCATGAAACTTCGCATTCCCTTTAAAGAACAATCATTCTTTTTATTTCTCTCTGCATTTCAAAACGAGCATTAACGGAGCCAATTGAGGCATTGGAAAGTCTAACAACACGTCAAATCCGGTCGCTATGGTTACATAGGGGAACGCGCAGACGCAAACGTTGACCCATAAATTCAAATAGATAAATGCCAATTTATGTGATTTAATCCACATCGATTATCATATTTTATATGTTACTATAAAAGAGACGCCTTTATACAAAATGTTTGTTTCAGGATGAAGAACCAGGAATTGATCCAGAACAGTTCAAAGAGATGATGATTGGGTTCACAGTTTCAAAGGATATGGAACACCCAGGGAACATCTTAGGAGAAATGATGGTCAACGGCCGTAAAGTGTAAAGAATCGTCTTTATAAAGGACACTGTATTGTGTTTTGTAAAGCTAAGACTTTGTTTGATATCCAACCGGATTCATGACAATCATTTCTTTGTATTACATTTTCGTGATTGAATACAAAAAAAACATTTTCAAGGACGTGGCTGATATTGCCATTCTTAAGCCACAGAAACCTGTCAAATTATTGTGTTTATCCTTTGTAAAATCAATAAATAACATAAAATTATATGTCTGTACAATCCTAAATTCTTTGTTACAAAATAAGACAACGTTTTTGTTTAATTATGAAATGTCATGAACTATCATTGCAAATTGAATATTCATCCCCAAGACAACATATCTTAGCCTATCTGGACCATTCAACCCAGAGACAACTTAACTCCAGACAATTAAATACATGAGGGTTATGCTATGGGAGGTTTTGGATATGGGGTATATCCCGAGGGCACGGAGGGCACGAGGTAAGATATAATATTTCCCGATGGATATACTCCATATCCAAAACCGAGCATCACATAACTAATTTATCCTATGACAAGTGATTTTTATCTATGACACATTGATTATTCCCTCAACTGATAAATTGAAAAGATTTTAACTTTTTAAACTAATGTTGATTTTATTTGTCGTATATGAAACATGTATATTGAATGAAAGTCAATATATAATCTAAAAGAACATATTTTGGTCAAGACAATATCCCTACCGCCGTCTGCTTCCATTTTGGTAGTTTCGCTAAATCGAGATATTCTAACGAATTTTGACTGTTTCTACACCGAGCGAAAACGTTTTCCCGGGAATATTGGTGCGGGAGATATATAGCGGGATATATGCAGCGGGAGATATATATATGTCCCGCTCCTCCAAGATATCGATTTTATATCCCGCTGTTATGTACCTGAAACCTCACTTGTCATAGGATAAATAAGGGTTATGTACTGGGAGGTTTTGGATACAGGTTTTATCCCAAGGGAAATATGTGTATATCCCGAGGGACCGCAGGGACCGAGGGATATACAAATATTTCCCGAGGGATAAACCCTGTATCCAAAACCGACCGTACATAACAGATGTATTTCATACCTACTGATGTTCTAGGTACGTCATATACCTTATCCAAAAATTGAAAAATAAAATTTCAAAAAAAATTTTGAAAAAAATGTGAAAAAAAATTTGAAAAAGAATGTGAAAAATAATTTTGGAAAAAATGGGGAAAAATTAAAAAAAAAAAAAATTGAAAAAATTCAAAAAAAAATTTTGAAAAAAAATTTCAGGAGCGGGACCGAGATGGATACAGCGTGTATCCATCCCGCCCCGGGCCTTGGCTAGATACAGTATATATTCCCGCTCGTTATGTACCTAGAACCTCAGTAGGTATGAAATACATGTAGATATTGATATTTTGACACGTACAAGCCCATTATGCTATATTCTTTTCGGTATGATTAAAGATAATTCCTTTTGGATGGCCAAAATGAGGCATTTGTTTTACATGTGGTTTGGTAATTACACTTTTTATAAGTTATATACAGTTTATTCTATGATGTTTGATCAGCACTCTCTCATGTAGATATCTAGCACATGAGTGGATGAAAACCAACTATGTATATCTTAGGATGTTCCTTCCATTCCATAATAATCTCAATGTTAAAGCTATATTTGATGGTTAGGCAAAAAGCCGCAAATATGATATTGTTTCGCTGGTTACAAAATATTGATCTTATTTTGACACACCTTGAATAAAAGAGTGACTATGAAAACATTCGATTGTTGATTTTTAGATACTGATCGTAATGGGGCTGTTGAAAAGCAGGAGTTTGACTTTATGTTCCAAGTATGTTGTTTTTGTTTATTGTTTAAAATAGCACCACTAACTTCCTCGGGAGAAACAGCCTCACAAACAAGTTACACCGAACATCACTATTTTACACTGTATTTCATAATAATTTGAAGTATATATAAGCACAAATGCCAAAAGGGAAGGGTGACTAAAAACCTTAAAGAGTTTATTGTACGGTATATACAGGGTGACCCAAAAAATGCAACCCTCCATTTCTTCAATATTTTTCTTGAATGGAAGTAAATTGCTCTGAAATATGGCACACAAGGACTTCATTCAATGTGGGATCTTCTGGCAAAGTTTCAGTAATCATAGTCTTATATTGATAGTGTTATGGCCGTTCCAAAATATGCTCCAAATGTCGTCCATTTCCAATGTTAGGTTTTGGGATGAATCACATTCCCTTCTTTCTGAACATGTAAACTCAAGAAATAATGTGTTCTGGGATCACAAATTCCAGATGAAATGCTTCAAAGGCCAGTTCATTCTGTTAAATGCACAGCTTGGGTTGCCAATTTCCAAACATGAAATCATCAGCCTCTTATGGTTTGAGGTTGATAATGGCAACAATGTTACTGTTAACACACAGCGCAATATTGGCGTTCCCAGGAAGTTCTAGGCAGTTCTAGAATGACATACAGGCTTCAATAGACGAGAACAGTGGTTCTAGAAGTATGGAGCTACTCCTCACACTTCTTATGATAGCATAGCCTGGCTCACTAGTCATTTCTATGAGAAGATTATCTCTCCTAGGATGGAGAACCCATGGTCATCCCAACGTCTTGATCTCAATGCCCCTGACTTCTATATATGGGGTTATTTAAAGGATAATGTGTATGAAAATAACCCTACTGCAATTGCAGAGGTCCAACAAGCAATGACTGCAAAAATTTGAGCCATACCCATGGGAAAAATGCATCCGTGTTATGAACAGTTTTCCTTGAACATTGCAAGTTTGTTTTCAGCGAAATTGACGATATCTGGAGCATATTTTGAAACAATCATAACTCTATCAATATAAGACTATGATTATTAGAACTTTGCCAGATGATCCCACATTGAATGAAGTCCTTGTGTGCCAAATCTCAGAGCAATTTACTTCCATTTAAGAAAAATATTGAAGAAATGGAGGGTTGCATTTTTTTGGGTCACCCTGTATAAATAATAGCGACTCCCGTTGAATAAACTTTATCATAGCATAAGGAAATGAATTAGAATATAAAAATACAAATAATCGTTTGTTGTTCTTAATAAATCACACTTCAGTGAACGTGTTGTTTCGGTTTCGATCAATTGAACTCTATATTCATGAGCCTACGATGACGTCTACATAGGCACATTAGACTACATGAATATAGAGCTGGCTACGTTCACTCCTGTAATTATGAATGAATAGTTGACGATGTTTAGGCCCCCATGTTGAGTTCACTCAGAATACATTTTGAGTAGAGCTTATCACGCTCACTCCTGTAATTGTGAATAAATAGTTCACAATGTTTGGGCCCCCTGATTGTGTTCACTCGGAATACGTTTGAAGTAGGCTAAAACCAATTTGAGTTTGAATCGTGTCTCCTCTATTCACAAGAGGGGGAGAAACCCCAGGGTTCAAAGATGACATACGCTTATAATGTAAATCTGTATTGAGATGACATCGTTGCTGATTGGTTTAGCGAGTCGACCGTTGATTGGTTTAAAACGAGGTCAATTTGAAAACTTTGTAAACCAGGATGGAGGGTAAACAAAAATACGTACTTCCGGGAAAGGAGGTGCGCGAAGAAGGAAATCGTATGTCATCAATTGAATCATGGTTTTTTCCTTCTTTTTCTATTTACCGTGACAGAGCTGCAATTCGCGAGCGATTATTACAACACCTGAGTGAACACGCCCAATAATACCTCGCTTACATAAGGTCAGATTCACACTGTATCGGCGCGATGGGAGTATTATGTGGATTTAATTTTTAACACAATACTAATCCCCGGCGCCCTTGTGATGAAACTGAGCTTATTTTGATCACACAACAACTTCATGATCATGCCAGAAATTTGAAAGTTCGCGTGGCTTGCGCAAATTATATATATATTGATATTATTATTATCATTTTTGTTTAAAACACTTCCTTTTACTCAATTTAGAAATATGCTTGTTTTACAATGTTTCGATTGATTGGTGCAATACGGGATGTACAATTAGATTATTCTTGTACATCAGAAATACATGGCACGTAGGCTTACTTCAGAACGCGCGTGCAATCTAGGTTCAAGGCCATTTTCTCTCTTTCCAAAGAGAATAAATATAACAAAATTCAGATGGGCATTTTTGCACATTTCATCAAGAGTATCATATATATTATATTATCTCCAAATAAACCCCCAGGATGAACATTATATCAGCTAATAGTTCTCTTGAAACGTGGTGGATCTATTAGTGTGACTCCCTTTATAGAAGCTTTGAACTAAATTTACACTTCTTAATGCTGAAATTGATAGTTTACCCATACATTTTAAGGTAAAATATTGCCCTGATAGCTCAGAAAAAGTATTTTTTTGAAATTTTCTCTCTACAGGCCTTGTTGCCCCTTTAAGTATAATTTAAAAGGAGATAATAACTTGAATATGTTGCAAAAGTGATCGATACGAATTTACTCTATACGACTTTACTGATTATTAAATACAACATTTCAAAATGGTACTATACTAACTACTTAAGTATACTTTAAAAGGGGACTAGAGATTTCTTAAATATATTTTTCAAAAGGGAACTATTCTAATAACGGGTTGGCCTACTGAAAGTCAAGAGTGGAAAAGAGCCAACGACATGAAAAACAATTTATGGGCCAAACTTAGTTCTGGTGCAGATGCAGACAAAAATGATGAGGTAAGTGAAAATGCCATAATTCACAAGTCATTCTCAACACATCGTACAACCAGAACTTTACACATGACGTGATTTTGGAGCCAAGTTTGTAATAGTCCTCATTAATTTCGACGTTTCGACACAATATGAACTTGCTACACAGAGATGCCTCTAGAATCATTACGTCTCAACATTTTATCTGTCGTGAGTAATATCTAAACCTTCTCAAAGCTTCTACAGGGTTTCAAATAAATATGTTCTCCCCTTGATTTTTAGAGAGTGAACTTCTGTGCACAAAAGTTAATCTAGTCATCTGGAACTTCTTGTAGACTTGCTTCATGAAGCCCCCTTTCAATGTGCTATAGAACAACTCAGATATATGACAGACAAAAAAGTTATGCAACATTATGTTGATGTTAAGTTTCTAAAATAGATTGAACAATTCAGAGAAAACAATTTTATTTAGAAAGTATATCACGTGAAATAAATTCCCGTCGGTATAAGGAATTGAGAATGGGTCGTGTAAGTATAGCTTAACTGTATACATTGGCCATACTCACACTTGTGCCACCGTTGCAAAATTTACTAGTTTATTTTAAATTCTTTGCAAATTAAATTCTTTTCAAAGTGCAAACAATAGTACCAAATCATGCAACAAATTAATAGCATTTCATTGAGTTCTCGTCTGAAACAGAGTTTCGCATAATCGGTATGAATGCAAAAGTGTGCCCCTATAATGTTAGGTCCAACTTTGCTATTCAACTCACACAACTTGTTCAAATTTTCGAATTGTTCGACGCAGTGTATATTAATGTCCACGTATGCTATCAAATTGGCCATATATGTTATAATTAAATGTAGAGTCAACTGCTAGTAGAATAAAATAGTATAATGATAAGAACCTCTCAATATCCTAGATGCACAATTTAGTCAAACTGGTGTCATATTTGGAATCTACATATAAAATTACATCTGAAAATGTGGTTTTGAACAGAGTTTATCAACTTTGAAAATTTAATTTTCTTTTAAAATGTGACTTTTAGGTCGGGAGATTCCCCGTAGACCCCATGTTGTAAAACTACAAAAAGTGAAATATCTTTTCTTGTGTAGGGCAGATAATATTTTCTTTTACTGGACATAGTTTAATTTGTATAACTATCACATACATACGGGTAATATGAAAAATGAACCACTACAACTGATGTATATTCAAGTTTAATGGACTTTTGTAATACCCTGCCATGTTATTTCCCCCGAATCAGCCACCTGGTGGCAAAACTGGTAACTACCTACTCGCATCTGAGTAATTCACCTGTTTAAGAATACGTATTCGATACAGGCAGCAGTGACTAAAAGTCAGAGATATAAGATCACAATTTTAAATCCGTGATGATTCCCTTCCTTTCAGCTCCTGTGATGAAGTGACAATTCGACAGATGCTACAAAAATAGTGTGTTATAATGTAAATATTGTGTCATGAGTGTTGGCCTTGAGTGGAAATGAACCAATGGGCATCATGCACATCAGAGATTCAGTGTTTCAAACATGAAGAAATCTCCAAACTTCACCATGGCAATGCTAGGAAACCAAATAAGTCTTCTTTAAGGGTCATTCCAAGGAAGATCGTTTCGAGAAAAAACTGCGTTGTCTTCTTGTGCTTTATTATTTACAGATAAGTCTAACTGAATGGTGCGACTTTTGGATAGATTTTGCTGCAACTTACAACACTAATAGTAAATTACCATTTTGGTACTCTGAATTCATAGATGTAATTTATTGCATTTTTGACACAAATGGTAAGTTCACGTGATCATATTCTGCAATTTGATTGGACATCATACTACTAAGTATTATACCGATGGGCTTGATCTGAATAAATTGATAGTTCCTCAACTTTCCATAATGAACAAAATGATATGTAACATAATAGGGTGACAATACTACATGCCTTATATTTAAACATTCCAGCTAGCTACATTTCTTTCCTTCACTAACTTTCATTTCCATATAGAAATATTTCTTGCAATTTTCAGTGGGATAATTTAGTCACAATTTAAAGTATTATAGATCATTTTAAAGGAGCTTTTAATGACTTTAGAGAGTGAAATTAGGGTTTTCAAGCAATACTTCTCAAGATAATAGTCTTACTTTTCTATCAGGATGGTTCAGATGCCCAAAACAGCTGATGCTTGAATATATATCATTTTGAAAATTGGAACGAGAATTTTGTTTTAAAGGCCCTCCATGTTTCTCTATATGAAATGGATTATCATTTTGAGTGTTTTTCATGAAATATCAATAGTTCTTGTGTTACCAGTGACCTCTAACCAGATTTTCTAAAAGAAGACAATGTAAGGATACTTTCCCAAAAAGCAAAGAAATGCACACATAGCTTCATACTTTATTTTATACCAAAAAGAACATGTGGAGGTATAACATTTTTTCAAAAATGTTTTCGTTTCACCATTACCTTAAAGTTCTTCACACATTGCAAACGATTTATACAGTATCACTTGAAAGAATATTATTTTCTGAAAGGGTTAACAAGCTAGGTCAGCACTTACGTCGATTAATAATATTCATCCAGTTTCTAAATGGCTCTTCCTCTTAAGTTGGTATTTAATTCTTACTTTGAATTGCAACTCAATAAAATAAAATATATAATGTAACATATAACATAATAAATATAATTTGTTTATTACATAGGGTGGATAAATGAGGATATGTTTGTAGCGTATTACAATGGATTACATGGCATCCCTCTTAGCATAGTGGAAAACACATTCTCAAGAATAACGCAGGTAGTTACACCCCCAATAGGTTTAGTTACATATTTGTTTTGAACAACGTTTTAAAATGCATTTATCAAGACTGGATATTCTATGATTTGTGAAATATCAGTGATATGATTTGCAGATATCAATATCCATGAGTGGTTGAGATTTTCTTCAAGAGTAGATGATATATATTTTTATTGAATAGTTGAATTTATTTATTCAAATGCAGACAATTTCCCGACTAATCAGCCATCGGGGACCGCCAACCTTTTTTAAATCACATGGAAAAATCCTCTAACCATCGAATACGGCACTGTGATTCAAAAGTTTTATTCACTAGTTTTGAAAAGAGTTTATACATATTTCATACTATATATATATGTAGTCTACGAATGAAGCTTTGAAATAATAAACTCACGTCATTTTGCATTTTCCCGATTTCTCATCTTCCACTCACAAGTGTGAAATTCTGAAAATGTCACAAACTTATTAACAATCATATGCTTCAATACGGGGTTACATGGTCCATTGAGTAAACATACTTTCTTTTAGATTGGAAAAAGAGATTTCGACATCGACCTTTTTCGGGAGATGATGATCATGATTGGATTCACATTGTCCATGGATATGGAAAACCCTGGAAACATTTTAGGAGACATGTTGGTGAAGCAAATAGGTTGTGAAACTGAATTTAAACGCAACGAGTTCTGGATTGAAAAACAACGACACCAGTTTTATGTCTGGTTCGGTTAGTGGATTATGAATATTTTCTGATCATGAAGACAAGCTTTTCTTTAAGTTCCATTCATTATCTCCAAGCAAAGTATATATGGTGTTTGGCTGTGGTGTTTGTGTTAAAAATACCAAGACCATCCTCGATAAACTCAAGTCCATGCAATATGACATGGCCAGGGGTATTTTCAACATAATAAGTACTCCTGGATATGTATCCATCATTGATGATCTTGGTTGGACCCCAATTAAGTACATTTAGTCCTCAAGAGACAAGTCCAATATTTGATCAGGGGACATTCAAAAGATATAGTTTTAGCAAGAATGCAAGAACGCTTTGCATGTAACAAAGCAAATAGTTGAAAATATGTCGAGCACATAAATTATATCTTTAAACTAATTTACCTTAATGGAATTGGCAATAATTTGATAGTAATACTTTGATAGAAAATTATGAATAATCTTTTCAGAGATACAGACTGAAATGCATGAAATAAATTCCTTGACACTGTAGTCAGCTCATCGATCGTAACCATAAAGATTTACAGCTTTATTTAAAAAAATGATTTTGATTTCGCAAGTACACGATTGAAATCTCTTGTTTTAAAGGAAAAACATATAAATGGTCAAATGTTCAAGTAAACAGCCCATTTTGTGATTTTTGCTTTGATAGAGAAGAGAATTTAAAAATTGAATTTAAACTTGAATATTTATCAGTTTTAGTGGTTCCCTTTTCATATTACCCATACTTAATTGACGCATAATCATGGAAGACAGATCCAGGAACCCCTCCTTGCCTTCCTGCATGGTCATACATAGTAATACTTCAAGATATAACCATCTAAAATTGTTTTATATAATCGTGTTGGTCATATGTATTAACCCAAACCAATATTACACGAGCTTCAGTAAATCAGTATCTGTTTAAATTTAGTAAATAAGTTTTTTTAACTTATATTTAATTTAGCTTATATAACATTAGAGCTTTAGTAAATTAGTATTTATTTAGGTTATATTACATAAGAGCTTTAGTAAAATTAGTATTTATTTAGCTTACATTGTATATTACATTAGTGAAGAGCTTTAGTGAAGTTGTATCTATTCAAACTTATATTACACTAGAACATGAGCAAATGAGTACATATTTGGTATACATAGCAAACTCAGATGTTACCTGGGTATAATATTTTTCTACTAATTACAGACCAGGACAGAAATGGAGTTGTCGAGAAGAAGGATTTCGATAAAAATGCTAAGGTAAGGTAATTGTCAGCAAATGTTGGGTTCAAAATTTTTATTTTGGTCCTGCCTGTATCATGGAGATATTTCAATAATCATTGTACACACTTTCTTTATTTCAACACGTCTTAGAGTAATATACACATGCTCACACCCTCCAGTTACATATTTCAACAGCTGATATACTTAAATGAGGATGTCATATAAGGTAGAACTTCACTGTTTATTCTGCAGTCAGTCTGCGCATCTCTAGAATGCCAAAAACGAAAACTGAATAAAACATCGATACTTGTTGATTTGAAAATGTCATCTAGTTTTTCATTTATTGCGTGGCGCGATCAGTTTAAGAGCGTCGGATTTAGACATTTTTAAACCCTGAGAGTGGGTTCGAACCCCGGCAGAATCTATTTTAACAGTCTACAATACATAAAACATTCAATGCCATAATAATGTTATCCCACTGATTCATAATATTCAATTTTTCTCAAGATCCAGACTGTAAATATTTTTGTAAATACTTTTGGTTTTCCATAGATGATCACAATGTTTTAAAGAGAATCTGAATTCCGCACTTTAATTTTAAAAATTGCATTTTCTCATTGAAATCAATGTTAAATTCAAATATTTTTTAAGAAATTACCAAACGGTCAATCTTTCTAATCTTCACATATTTTGTTATATTTTGTTTTGTATATCCTTCAGCTACATATTTTCAAGAAAATCTGAGTTGTAGAAAAAGGGGATTATGGGAAGATTAGAAGGGTAGAAAAGAGTGACAAATATGATTAGGGAGTGAAATTGAAATAAAATTAATCACTTCGACAATGATATATTTAATTGATTATATTATAAATAGGAAATGTCTTGTTACAGAATATTTTGGCCTTGACTAAGTGGTCCGAGGGCAGTGACATGGCGACTCGATGTAATGACGTCATGAACACATTGTGGAAGGAATTGAAACATGTTGTAGATACTAACTCGGACGATAAGGTGGTTATAGCTTATTTTATCCCAATCATAAGTACAACAAAGTTTATATTAAAGATACCTTACGATTGTTTAATTGATAAGGAAGATAAGCAAGTAAAATGTGCCTATATTTAATGTTTGTACATCAATGTTTGATATGAATCCATTTTTAGCTCATCGAGTCATTTAAAATGACTGCCTTTGCAAGAAATGATCAGTCACCGATCTAATTGACTTTTACTCTTTCCTTTCCTTTGTCGAAATTGACGAATCACATTGAATGTTGAAGGTGACAATTGACGAATGGCTTGACTTTATGGAGAAGATTTCCAGGCAAATCAAATCCAAGACCATGGAAATACCTTCTGGGTATAGTGGTTACCTTAATCTAGTCTTTGATCTGCTTGATAGCCTTGGATATGGTAAGTTTAATAGAATACTTCCATTAAAACACATATTTCTTGAACGATGAATCCAGTTCATAAAAGGATGAGACATTTTTATATTGTTTTTGAATCCAATGTAGTTTTTGTGGATTCGTAAAAGTTTGTTTCAAAGTACAATTTGACACCGGAACACACTGACAACTCACTGGTGATCCACTCGATTACGCTGGTTACCAAAACGAACCGTTTTGGTAACAAAATGTCGGAACGTCGAAGGCACGATTTTTCTTTTTTCCTCATTTCACGCGTTGCAGGCAGAATCCCCACGACGTTCTTTCTCACAACGTGCATCAGTATCATATGTTTTAGAAAATGTACATGTTTGCGAAAAAATAGCTCAGAGGACAACAGAATCGTCGATTTACTTCCTCGCTTAAGTTATATAAACGGTTTTTCTAAAAACAGTTAAGATCTGCACTTTTAACCCAAACCGTTTATGTAACTTAAGTGAGGAAGTAAATCGACGATGCTGTTGTCTTCTGAACTATTTGTTAGCAAATATGTACAATTTCTTAAACATATGATACTGATACAAAATGTCGTGGGAATTCTGCCTACAAAGTGTAAAATAAGGAAACGAGAAAAATCGTACCTTCCGGATGTTCCGACATTTTGTTACCAAAACGAACCGTTTTGGTAACCAGCGTAATCGAGTGGATCACCAGTGCAACTGGAACGTTAGATTTCATGACATCACACATGGCGGACGGAAGTTCGTATTTGATACGAGATTCTCTGACTGAATGTTTAGTAGAGTTCGTAGATTAAGACGTCTGTGATACAAAAATCAACAAACAATTGGAAATTGAAACTGCTTCACCTCTAGTAGGGTAGAGCGAATTTGGTATCATTTTAAAGCTAAAAATCTGCTGAATCAGAAAACAATTCTAGTATAAAATGTAAAGCTGTTACTTGTGGTTTAGATTTTCCATATACTGTGACATGACATTATCATATTTTGTTTTCCTCTAACAAGGACCCATAACAAAAATCTGATTGGATTCGAGAAACATCTAAAATGTTTAATGGTAAAAATATTATAATAAAAGTATAGAAATCTGATTGGATTGGAGAAACATCTAAAAAATGTAAAATGTTAAATACAATTTATAAAAGTATAAATCCGAGCATTTGTCTATCCGCACATACTCTTCCACCAGGATCATGAGTCCATGATACACGAATGGAATGTGAAATGTAATAGGGCAATATGTGTATTCACGGGCTAATAGAGTTTCCACGTATATGGAGTATGACCGGTTTTTAGGCTACGAATATGACCTGTTTTGGAAAGTCATGAGAGGCACAGCTGCTTAAAATGGAAAATAAAGGTTAACTTCTATATTATCCTTTTTGAAATTGTGTTTGTTGAATATAGTTTATGCTGTATTTAATAGTAATGTAACAAAAAATGTTAAACATGAGCTATTTTAGCAATGTAACTGTTCATAATGGAATATCAATCAGAAAGTACAGATTTCTCGCCTTAGAGCCAAATCATTAATATCACAGTAGAAAAAAAAACAAATCCCAAACCTTTTTATGGCTAACCTGAACATGATCTCCAAATCTCAGTTTATATGATCCCCCGTAGAATGAGCAAGAGAAGGATTTATCTTTTCCCAGAGGATACGCTTGTGAAATGTCATGGAAACGAGTGTAACACGGCCCACTGATTGTTTCACAACCGTATTCTCCAATAATGGGGCACCAGTGACATTCGTATTCTCAAAAATTCAAAGATGTATCATATTTGGACAGAGTAGGCTAAATTATTTAAAATATTCATGACTAATTCGTAGATCTAGCTATATATTATACATAAGATGTGTCATCCTCTTCGGAGTTGCGTTGTGTTACACAAAAACTGATCAAAGATGCTGGAAACTAGGATTTTACGGCTTCAATCTAATATTAATACGTTTTCTCTTGATTAAGGCCCCTTGTGATATGCCTGGCATTATAAGTATACCAAGTATCATTTATTGACCAAGTAGGATAAAAAGAAAACGTTCGAAAGTGTTCATAAAAAGCAAGTACTCACCTCGTCTGTTTATAGGAACATAAATACGGTCACACTCGTAAGCTTAGAACCGGTCATACTCAATATACGCGGATACTCTAGTATCCCGTGTGTATTGGCTAATCACTTATAAATTCTTGGACCGTTATTATTTTTAATCTATATAAACGACTTGCCAGATGATTTAAATTCCCTTTGCTTTCTCTATGCCGATGATACATCACTTTATCATCCATACTCCAAAAATGATCCTAACTCCATTGACCTTTTACAAGATGATTTGAATAAACTTTCTGAATGGTCAAATACTTGGAAAATGGCATTTAAAGCAGCAAAGAGTGCTGATCTCATTTTCAGACGACCAAGAAGTACTTTAAATAATATCCCTGATTTGACACTTAATGGTGAAACTCTGCCAAAAGTAAATAGTCACAAACATCTAGGTATGCACCTGGATGACATTCTAAATTTTGAAGTGCACATTGAAAACTTATTGAACAAAGTTCAAAAAATGATAAATCCACTTCGCGCATTGAGCCATAAACTTAAAAGTAAACATCTTTCTAGAATAGCGGAATCATTTATACGGCCACATTTTGACTTTCATGACATTATTTATCATACTGGTAACAAATTAACTCTTGACCGACTTGAGAGACTCCAGTACAGAATTGCATGCATTGTGTCTACATGGTTCAAATACAAATTCAGTATTGAAATTACTAAATTGGGACAAACTTGTTGACCGACGTAAATCACACATAGCAACGTTTATGTACAAATTATCTTTAGGTCAAATGCCATCTTATATATCAGAAATTTTTCAACAATATAGACCAATCAGATTACATATGCAACTTAGAAATCCAGTTGATTTTCACTTACCTACTAACATATCAGCTAAATTTAGAAATTCCTGTATCTTTTCATGCATAAATATTTGGAATTCACTCCCACTTGAATTGAGATGTCAACCAACAATATCCACCTTTAAAAATCATGTCAAAAGAAACTTCTCATCTCAACCAAAGATATTTACAAATTGTCAAAATATTGATATTGATAGACTTTATGAAATCAGTTTGAACAGGCTTAGAGTAGGATTCCTTTTAAAATCACATAAATATGCTCATTACTTTCCTGGAATTTTGGATGACCTCTGTCAATGTGGAAAACAACAAACTACTGAACACTTTTTCCTTCACTGCAACCTACACATCAATGAAAGACTAACTCTACTTGCAAAACTTTCAGAGCTAAATGCAATTGAAATTTTTCTAGATTCAAATGTTCGAAACAAAATTGAATTTCTACTAAATGGAAATGACGAACTCAAGATTGAAGAAAACCAAGCTGTGCTGCAGATTACTGCCAACTTTGTATTCAGCTGTAAATAACTATTTAAATTGTTTTCTGCTTATTGCCTAAACACCCCAGACAGAAAACCTGACACCACCCTTTAGTTTTCTTGTTTTTTATAATTTTACTATGTTTGTTAAATAAAAAAACTGCCACCAATGTTTTTCAACTTCGGCAGTCACTACATGTGTAATTTGTATGTACTAAAATTGAATAAAGAATAATAATAAAAAAAAAACTTATAAAAAACTTTTGGCAATTGACTATTGTTGATACTGGTTTGGTTTCCTATTCTTGTTGTTGTACTATTTTCATAGCATCGTCAGTGATGATAGTGGTCGCGGAAATTATTCAAAAGATATCCAGAACAACACCATCACTGTCCCACAGCTGGTTGACTCTAACTGCAAAGCTTCATTCAAGATGGTTGCCAAAATTCCTTCGTTTTCGATAAATCACAGATCTCAGCTAAACTTACTTGAATCTGGATTCCAAATGTTTCGCCATGCAAATTGATGAAGCTACGATGGTAAATAACCACAAATAAATGCTCAAACAACCGCGATATTGGAGAATTTTAAAGAAAATGGCTTCACTTCCCCTGTACATGTTAGAATGACATGAATGACATGAACATAGAATGTTAGAACTGAAGATGATGATGCCTTCAGTTAGTGTCATTCTAGGTGAAGCTGTTTTCTTTGAAATTCTCTAATGTTGCGGGTGTTTGGGCATTTACAAGTTGTGGTTGAATACAATCGTACGTTTATTATTTACCTGGCGAATTTTTGGAAATCAAGATTCAACTTCGCTTAGCTGAAATCGGAGGTTTGTCGAAAACGAAAGAATCTTGGCAACCATCTTGAATAAAGCACCTGAGGAACAGTGACCATGACATTGAATGGTCTTAGATTCAACATTGTATTTACCATAGGGAAGTCTGATTCTGGCCTCCCTTGAACAGGTAGAAGCATTTAGAAAAGCCCAACTACTACACGAGAAATCTGAATAAGCGTCAGATTTCGTTGTCACAAATGGCAAAGTCAAGTTCGTATTCGATTTGATTTTAAATATTAATTGGGCTGAATATTCAAACATCAAGTAAATTCAACATACCCATTGAAATATGGCACTTGACAAGGAAACATGTATTACCATCTACCGTTGTCCTCCTCTGTTTTTTTTAAATCCAGAATCCGTTTTGTCTTTGATGATTCGAAAGAAGAGATTCACGATGGCATTTGAACGAAACTAGTATTTCATATATGAAATCGTCATTAGAGCTGATTATTTGCGCAAACGAGATCTGACGTCGACGTTCTCAGGGTGTTCCGATGTGAAAGTGTACTACTACTGGTTAATACTCCATTGTGTAACCTGCTATCATAATCAAAGGTTTTGTAGCGACCCTGGGTTGGCTACCCTTGCAAATGCCAACCTTATTCCCAGTCTCGCTACTTCCTTTCCGCTTGGAGCGCGAATAATACCGCTACAGGGTCAGGGTAATGCATGTTATTTAGTTACTTGAGGTATAGCTTTTGTATTTAGAGCAACTATTTTGTAAGGGTAATTTTTTGTGGGGTAATTTTATGTAAGGGTTTATCTCGCGAGAAGTTTCGCGAGAAGAGAGTTGGCGCCATATTTTTCCCCACGAGGAACTTTTGGTTTAAATTTCGATGTTTTAGATTCGTTTTTCGACACTTGATCGGGCCTGATCAATCGTCATGGTAGCCAGGGAGATGAAGAGAGTGGCCGCAAGATTGAGGTTGACAATCGCTTTACTTGAAGCTCGATGTTTTTTTGATCATGAGGGCTGAAATATAGTCGCCATCATAGTTAAGACCTTTGAAATTTGTCAGGTTTGACTAAAGTCAGATTCTGCTTTTAAGAGCCATTGTAATTCGTGTAATTTGCTTTGATTTGTATTGATAAAACTGATGTAAAACCAGATCTTAATTATTTATTTACAATTAAACTTTACAACTTTACTTGATTTGTCGTGTTGATTGTTTGTAGCCATTGATTGATGGTTTAGATGGAATAACAGTAAAATGGCCCCATGATTACTTTCTGATATCTTCCTAACTTCATTTCTTCATTCTGTTCCAAATCATTCTTGTTAAATTAAAATTTTCAACTTTTGTGTCCATTCAAAGATGGCAGCACCTTACATGTAGTCCAGTAATCAATCTTAACATTCAGCTCAAATTCGATTCACTACGTTGCCATGGCCGTTCAGCTTACCACGCTACCATTTGTTTGCTCGTTCGGTCTTGTTTGTTTGTTTGTACGGGTTGCTTTGTTGTAGTATTGGTAAATTGATTGATTGGGCAGCCCGTACGTGGCAGTTCCGGGATTGAGACCGGAGCTGTTACAGTTTTTTTTTTTTAGGCGATGGGAAGATATCGACAAAAGGATTTGTGTCAGTTTATCGGACATTTAAAATTCCAGATGACGTCATTGAGAAATGCTTCAAAGAGATGACATACGTACGCATTGTAGATTATCCCACTATTTTCAGTCTTCTTATGAATAGTTTCGATTTTGTTTTGTATAAATGAGCTCAGTAACGAGACATGCTTATATAAATTCCAAATCAAAGTTAAATGACAACATAAGGTAAAGCTAACATGCTATCTTTTGTAGCATTACCTATTCGTTCCCAACAATTGACAGTAAATACAAGGCATATATCGGGTGTCTCAAAAAATGAATCGCTATTTGACAAGTGTTTTTTTCCCAGCAATTTATTTAGAATTTGATTGAGAATTGACATATTCAAAAATGCATGTAAAAATCCAATATCACTGGAAAGCCACATATTTCAGTCTGGAAGAAGCTGTTTTTAAGCAGAGATGCTTTTGTGTATTTTTCCATCGATATCACTTCCCATGACATAATAATCCTGTTGGAGGGCTTTTTTGTTCCCACTCAAACCTTTCACCTTGAAACAGTTTTCAATAGTAGCCTTATCGCTTATCACTTAAACGCATTTTTATCCCTCAAAACTGAAATTTTTGACAGAACATATTTTGGAAATGGAGATCAATGAAACAAATCAATAAACCTGGCATAGCCTACAGACAAGCATGTTTTGAGATTACGTAAAACTGATTGACAGGTCCAATCACCTGATACCAGGCACAAATGCTATGACGTCTTCTTGCACAGCCCTGATATCACGGGGGGTAAGCAAAACGAGGGCGAAGCCACGGACTGCGACTCGCGTAACTTTACACCGCAGCCCAGCGCCAAAATGGAGGGACATCCGGCAGTGCCTTCTGCTTCTTCCGACAAAATAGAGAAATCCAGGTATTTTAAATGCTATCGTAGTGTCTAATCGGTGACCAAAATATTACTCTGTATCTACTGTTGGTCTGTAGATAAGAAAATAAGCAGTTGTCCAGATCAAGCTAAAACAGTAGCAAAGTTCTGATTTTACCTGTAAAATATGTGCATATTATTTAATTTACTATACACTTGAAAGGAGTTTTAACACGTTTCTGATATCTAAAGGTTAGTTGAGGCTCCGAGTATAATTCGTGAAAATGATTTGATAATAGAATGTGTTCATGAGGAGAAAATTAGATTCAAACTGCGCATTCATAGTGGACGCAGTCCAGTTAACAAAGCTATTTCAACAACGCAGCACAGCCTCCATTGATATTCTAAGGAACGCAGTCCAGCCGCGAACATGAAATAAATAAGATAGTGTAAACTATATTCCTACGCTATTATTGTTTCAGGAAAAGAAAGTCAGCATCCAGATTATCATTCAAAGTTACGTTGATTAACATATATCTATTACCTGAATCAATGTCCCAAATTGCTATATTGTATCGTTCAAGACCTAGAAATATGGCAATTCAATAGCGTATTTGGCAGAACAGTCGAGCGCAAGATGACAACGTAATAATTGGAGAGTTGGTGAGTTAATGTAATTTTGGATGATCTTTCCAACAGTCCATCAATATTGCTAGCTACCATAAATTCATGATTTCAGCTGTATTTGACAGCTTGTATATATTTGCAGAATGGATTGAGACACGATGTAGGTCTATTAAAATAGCCCTTTATATTCAATTTTGTCCAAAGTTGCTCCATTTCGGCCACACCTGTACACACATTGTGCTATCTACCTTTGGCTGTGATTGCGTTCAGCTTCAGATATAAAGCAACACTGAGTCGCGGACTGCGTTGGGCAGATGGATGGACTGCGACTTTTATAAATTCAATTTTTCTATGTAATTGTGCGTTTTCCGCTTACCAAATATCACACGAATATGTAATTGTAACAACAGAACAGGAATAATTATATTAATTCGATGTCATTTCTGATTCCTTTGTTTAAATCGGTATATTAGGGACAAATATTGACAAAATTACATTTTTTGTGTCAGATTTCGAATTCATTTGTGTTCATGCTAAACTATTGGACAGCCGAGCACCAAGAATGCCATTGCAGGTGGAGTATGAATATGTTGATCACCGACTGGAACATACTAGCTATTCTGTAGAATATCCAAACCAATAATCTACCCCAAATCCTAACATGCCTTCCAAATTAAGTTTGGACTTACCGCCATTGTTCAGCTATAATGCGTTGTAACCTCGTTTTGAATAACGCGAGTCGCAGTCCGTGGCTTCGCCCTCGTTTTGCTTATCCCCCGTGGATATGGAATTTTTGAACATGCATTTTTGAATCTGTCAATTCTCACATAATATGTGACAAAGCTCTTTCATATTTCTACAACTTTCTAATGTTACCCTAAGGCTACTTTATAGACATTGTCATCTTCTGAGAAAAAGATTTAGCGATTCATTTTTTGATACACACGATACAATACCCCAGAAATTCGTAATGAAACATTTACTTCATATCATCCATAATCTAATTTTCAGGGTGGACGTATTGTTATGGCTCGTGACTTTTGGCTTTTGTCGAGCATACAATTCTCTATATCAACTGATATGAACTCTCCCGGGAATATTCTCGGCAAGATGCTGACAGAAAAGTATGATTAATAGACGCTATTTTATATTATAAACAATTGCAATGGCAACTTGGTCAAAAACATTTCCTCAAGAGATGTAAATGGCGTGTAAAATAGAGTAAATTATAATGTGTAAATGTACATGTTGACCACTTTCAAAGAAAAAGCGCTGAATGAAAAATTCAAGTAAGATTCATCAAGTTATAAATGCAGGGGAAAAGGGTTAAATAGCCGTATATGGTACATGTGCTTGTAAAACTATAGCAGGTTTATTGTGTCTGAATAAAGCATTATACAAAATCTTGAAAGTTTCCAATTTTCCCTTGCAATTAAAAACGTTTAAAATATAAATGGTGAATTAATAGTTAAATGTTCATTGTTTTGTTGCTGGAATGAATTAACATACAGCCGACAAAATGGTTAAAACAAACTAAACATAAAGGTCCATTCAAAGTCGAATCTATCAACAAATACACTTAGTATAAGCACGAATCTAGTGAACATTCAAAATGCCAGAAATAATCATGTGTATCGTGCATCAATGTCATCAATGAAACGTATCATTCCTTCTATCATTCATTATATTCTGTAATGAATGTCATTTATGACGCTGCTCCAGCTACCAGCCTAGACCAGTTAGACAAGCTACATTATAGGGCAGCTGTTATTTGTTGTGGTGTTATGCAAGGAGCAAGCACCGAAAAAACCCTTGAAATATTAAATTGGGGTAATCTTCAAAATAGACGGGATGAACATAAATTGCGCGTTATGTTCAAGATTCATAACAATTCGGTACTATCTTACGTAAAATGATAACCTTGTGGAACCGTCTTCATAGAGACAATAAGGAAACGAACAGCTTCTCATTTTTCAAAAAACAACTAAACGATCACCTCACTAAAAACATCGAACCTACAATTTCAACCTCTTACATACAGAATCTTGATAGAAAAGAAGAAACTGTACTAAATAAGATAAGAGTTAATCGATATTTTAAATCCGATCTTTTTGACCATAATTTCTCCTTCATTAACGATCCATATTGTGACTGTGGAGCTCGAGTGACAGCACAACATAAACTCTTGTCCTGCCCGCTGCCCACAAATTTCCTCCTTTTTGGCCACAAGGATCTGACAAACGAAAACAATTCCAGAATCTTTAAGGCAGTTTTAAATTTCATTAAACAATTGATAACAGTAATTCAAATTCAGGGCACCAACGGGGGTACAGACAGGTAGAAAAACAAATTATAACAAAATTCTATACTTTTCTTATACTAACTATGACTAAATGTAATCATATTGTAATTTAAATTCATTTAAAGCGGCAGTAGAAATTAATTGATTAATAATGTAAATTTATTGATAATCTTAAGAAATAAAGAGTATCGATTGTTAAAAAAATGAATGTCAAATAAAGCTCCATGTACCACTGAATTAGGATATCAAGCACATTAAAAATAATGATTGGCACATGTACGTTGTTATTGTACTCGTCTGAAAATAAAGATTAGATCAATCACATTTAGTGGTTCAAAAATATACTATCAATTATCGTGTGATCTGTAAAATGAAGCCTTCTGATTGGCCAGTTCTTGTGCTGTACCAATCTGTATTGCTACTGAGATTGTCCCCGTTGATCATCTCCGTCGCAATACAGAAAATATTGGTACGTAGGGGACAATCTCAGTAGCAATACTGAGGATAACACGATAAAAACGTTATTGAATGATTTGAAGTGCAATACATGATATATTCTTTCTCGATATTCTATATTGGCACTCGACTTCGTCTCGTTCCAATACGGAATTTCTCGAGCAGAATATATCCTGTATTGCACTTCAAATCATTCAATAACTTATAGTATTGTTCTCATGGCAAAGGTGAATCTTATATATTTGGCTATGCCAAAGAATGACTGTGAACAAAGCATGATCGCGACCATACTTTTCAAACATCTTGAACAAATCACTTGATTTTATGACATTATCAACGTTCTCGTGAATTCATGAAATACTGGATTAAATTATGTATTTGAGATTATGGCTCGAAATGATAAAATTGAAGCAGAAAACATTAACAGAATACATGATAAAGAATGGGGAAACAGTATGACACAAGTTATTTTCATTTATACATTAAGACATATTGCATATGATGCTCCAGTGCCAAATATTCACAATTGAAATTAGGGAATGGAAAAATGTATTGAGGGTAGCTGTAGTTATGAGAAGTTTTGACATCCTATTGTTAGGAGTGTTCCGACATTTACATATGGACTAGACATAATGCTACAATTACTGTATTGAAAGGGAAGACTACATATTAAGTATATTAGATTTAATGCAAATTAGTTATAACATAACCTGACTAACAGCTGATCCATTTCAGTCTATCAAGGCATTCACAAAATCAATTCAATTTAATGACGTCATATGGACCGTGGGCCCATTGGTTCAAATTTAAAGTCAATGTAATTCAGGCAATGCATTGCTTAAGGTCCCGAAATTTCATATATGTTTGTAAGAAGGATGGTACTATATCTGTATTAAATTTCTTGTAAAATAGTAAAATCTCTTTTCTTGAGAAGCTTTCTTGCAGAACTATTCGAACGACGTAGTACGTATAATTTCCGAATTAAACACTTATTTATGTTTCTTGGCCGCATTAAATCCTTTTTTCGTTTGTAATGCTCTTAAACCCTGTTGAACCCTGGTCCGCCAAACGAACATCTACAAAAAGTAAAAAGGGATTCTTCAGCTGTAACTACTGCAGTTCGCTTTGAATGATGTCCATGATTAAGTAGCAGAATCTACGACCATCAACAGTTGGAAGCTGCAGATAGGAGCAGTTCTATGCCAAGAGCTGTCCTAGGGAGAACGCTTCAAACCCATTCAATCCACTAGTCCAACAAGTCATATTACATGTAGTCCCACAAGCCATGCAGCCACGCCCGCTTCGTCTCACTGACATTTATTTTATAATGTTTTAATAGACATTTTATTTTAGATTGACAATTCTGTAATTATAGTAGATTAGATTACTAGTATCTCAAAATCGTTCTTTCTCTCGGTGCAATAGATACTTCTACTTTGATTTTAATGTTCTCCATGTTGATTTTATGTAAAACATTTGTATATATTATATATTCTACATTGCTTGTCGTGTTGCATATGTGTTGCATGTTGTATTTGAATCTCATAGGCTCTGTTTAAAAGTTCCATTTCCTTCCCCATTCACATCCTGTTACAAAACATTGAGATGTGTCATCTGGGACTCATAATTGATGGGGGTGGTCATTATGACACATTGTATAAGGAACTCATAATCACTCAAAAATAAGCGTCTTATTGATTACGATCAAATATCAAATTCATTATTTTTAAGTTCGGATCAACTTAAATGTGCTTATATACGCCGGGGTCAACGAAGTACTTTTAAACGTTTTTCCTTTATTTTTGGGGAAGAGTGATTTTCAATCCAGAGGAGCAATCTTGCTGTTTCAATACTTAATAGTTACAAAAGTGTTGAATAAACAATTTCTGATTAATAATACCCGTTGATGAATTTAATAATCTAATTTATAATTATTAAATACCTTGTAGGTTTTAGGGTACTATGATTTACAACATAGGCTGGTATATTAAGATAGATAAAAGTAATATTATGAGAACAATACTACATTATAATACGATATGTACTTAGAAAATACAACAAAGCAAGTGTTGTTTACATTATAATGTATTTATTATGAGGTATACAATACATGCGGTGATCAATGAACGGTGGTATTTTTGAAGAAAACGGGTGTTTATCAGGTTGGAAATTAAATATGAAAGATTATTTCTTGATAAGCATTAATATACATTGATCATATTTTCTAGAAAGTATGGGCCAAATCTCCACGCAATGTTAAAACTTTTAAATTTTGCTTTATTCGTTCAATATCTAAAAGGGGCAGGTACGTTATTGCAAGCTTTTTAGACAGCTCTTACATAAGTTCCAATAATTATTTGACCACAAAAACAAATGCGTTTGTTTGGCCAATATGTAATCTTCAATAAGGGGCAATAGAATGAAAGCAAAGTCGATCAGATTATCTCTTAAGCTGTCATTAATCCACTCATCATCACCGATTTTTCCCCAATTATGAGTAAATTTTCACAAAATGCGGCATTCTATTCCTATTTTTACGACTAAATTGAAATGTACTATGAGTCATGATTTGCCTCTAAAAGGAAGAGTGAGTCTCCCTGGGATTAAGATAATCCGAAAAACAATAAAAATTTGAGGTCAAATATCTTGCCGAAAAGCAACATTTTTTGATATGGTTAATGTACAAAAAGCTTGGGGATATTACAAAATTGATATGTAAAAAGAAAAAAATAACAAAATAACATTATGACAAATGGATTATGAGATAAACCCTTTCTAATCTTGTTGTTTTTCATTTGGAGTTTTTGTAGGCCTAACTATGAATTCACTGTCAAGTTCAGGTGAATATCTTAAGCTATTACTGCACTGAAAAAAGAACGATCCATTGAAAATGAGCGATAGATGGACTAATCGACACTAGATTGTATTATTCAATATTATATTTCTAATCATACAATGCGGCTTGTCGAAATCCATGGAGTCAGTCTGTACATGTAATGCATCATAAGTCCACGTGTACATTAAAGGAATCCGGGTCATTGCAACAGCAGAGTGTTTTCAGAGTTTCTTCTAAACATTGCGTCTTGAAATATTGCATACATATCGAATATATATAGTATGACAATATAGAAAAGTTTCAGCTACTAAATTCCTGTAATAGAGAAGATATTTGAACTCCATGTTTGTAAATTGAAACATACATGTATAATTCCGACTCAAATATGTAACATTTGGATTGAGAACAGTAAGAAATTAAATCCAATCATAACGTTCACACTATATAAAATAGAGAATATTGCTTGGTTATAAGAAGTGTCTATTTGTAAGAATCTCTTGTAATCAGCAGTAATCAGCAAAAATACTCAGCACATATAAACAGAGACATTACAGAGACAATACTCGCTGCATATATGGAACACTCTGTATATTCAGGTATTGCTCCTCTTTATTTGTAGAACAGCACAAATAAGCACTGATTATATGTGAAGTTAAGAATACTCAAATATATGCAAACGCAAT